CTGGCCTTCTGGGTTTCTCTGTCTTTCTGGCAAGTGCACGTGCCCTATAGCAAAAACCTCCCAAAAAAAAAAAAAAATTATTGGGACCAGCAGTTAGAGTAGTGGCTATGTCACTGGACTCCCACATAGTTGACCGTGGTTCGAGTCCCAGACCCGGTGGCTTAAACTCACACCAGGCATGTATGCGTGCGTGCCCAAGATCCCAAGAGGAGAAAGGAGGAGAAGGGTTTGTGGCATGGCCATCCCCCCTGGAGATGTCTCTATGTCTCTCTCTGTCTTTCTAGCAAGCACACACGCCCTATAGCAAAAGCCTCTAAAAAAAAAAAAAAAAAAAAAAATTATAGTAAATATTATTATGTCCTGCCTCTTCTCACGAGAGACCAAGCCAGCCAAGTTGTATATGCCCCTCTAAATACATAAACTCAAATTATTTCCACGATCAGAGGAAAGGACATAAGGCTAATTTTGCAATAATGCAAAGTGTACAGCAACTTGCAATAGTTGGTAGATGAAGTCACAACGTCAAACTTTGTAGCTGCCAACACTCAGGCTGTGTCACCCTTTCTTGATCTAAAACACAGGGACAGTGTGACGTATCTGATAGGGCTGCTTGGAGGAAGAAATTACAGGACGTTGGTCGAAAACACTGAGCAGTGCCACTGACAGAAAAGGAGCTCAACACTCGGTGGTCGCACTGATTAGAAGCGGAGTGGATGGAACCTGCGGTCAAACTGGCAGCTGCCGGGGGCAGCCTGCAGGCAGAGCAGCAGAGCTGGCCTGCTCTTGGTTGGGAGAAGCCAAGGTTTTGAATCCTGACTGACGTTCCTTTTCCACCACTAAACTGAGAAATAACTGACATGCCATACAACTCACCCATTTCAAGTGTACAGTTCTGTGGCTTTAATGTAGCCATAGATGTATGCGATTATCATCACAAGTTGTGAGCATTTTCATCACGTTCAACAATCCATATGTACCCTTTAGCTATCATCCCCCCAACCACCCAACCTCCTCCCACCTCTAGCCCTAAGCACTACTGATCTAAGTCCCGTCTCTACAGATGTCCCTATTCTGGTCTTTCATGACTGGCTTCTTCCACTTAGCATAGGATTTTCATTCCTTTTTATGATCGAATAATATGCCACTGTATGAACAGACAACATACTGTTTACCCACTCATCAGTTGATGGACACTGGGTTGTTCACACCTTGTGGCAATTATGAATAACACTTTTATTAACATTCATATACAAGCTTTTATGTGGACATACCCCTTCATTTCTCTTGCGTAGATACCTAGGAGAGGACCTGCCAGGCCACAGGTGTGCAGGTGTGCACTTGCCGTGAGACTCTGCTCATGACCTCAGTTCCCTCCCAACCACCAACCACCTTGATGATCCCAGATGCTCGGTCAGACTTGTCAACTGTGGCAAAACCTGAAAGAGTGCCCCACAAACCTTTTCCTGTTCAGGATGGACTTTCAGATCCATGCACATATCCAAAAATTGGGAGAGCAGAGCCTGGTCCAGAAGGATGTACACAGCAACTCCCCGTTTCCTACATATTTCCTGCAGGTCTCTGAAGATGTCGATGTCTGTGAACACATCCATCACCACCGCAATCACCTACAGGGCGAGGCAGAGGGAGGAGTGAGCTGTTAGTGCATAAGAATGACAGGGACCAGCAGTTGGCGTAATGGCTATGTCGCTGGACTCCCATGTGGTCGACCGTGGTTCAAGTCCTGGACCTGGGGCTTAAACTCACGCTGGGCGCGTGTGCGTGTGTGCCCAAGATCTTGAGAAGAGAACGGAGGAGAAGGGATTGTGGCATGGCCGTACCCCCTGGGGGGGTGATTTCTCGCTTTTTGTCCTTCTCTGTCTTTCTGGTGAGCGCACGCACCCTAGAGCAAAAACCTCTCCAAAAAAAAAAGAAAAAAGAAAAGAATGACATAGCATCATATCATTGGTCGTCCAAACTCTGGACCCCATCTCAAGGCTGGGAGAGGAGTCCTAGCCCACAATTATCCTCTCTTCCTATTTCTGCAGTATTGGTTTCTCTGCATCATGGATTCTTCTCCAACCCCAAAGACACACACTCAGGCCAAGAACCATATACTCCAACCTCAACGTGGTCAGCTGATACTCTTAGCTGCCTCCCAGCCTCTCTTCCACACCAACAAATTTCTCAAAAATATAGATTAATCTGCCATCTTGCTTACTTTGAACCTGGCTCCATTCAACTTCTGTTCCTTTCCTAAAACCCTAACAGGCTCGATTTGAAGCAGCAAGCTATCAGGTTCGGTGGCCAGCACACTGTCTGTCACCTTAGACATGTTGCTCTCCCCACCAGACTTCAGTTTCCCACGTCTGTAAAACAATACGACCTTAGATTCTCTCTGAGGCCCCTTCTGGGTGGAACATTCTCCAAGTTCATTGATTTTGATTACTGTATAATTTTGGATCATAATCTCAATTTTTTATTATCATCGTCTAGGAATAGGGCCCACCATCTACCACCACCTCCGGGGTAGAAACAGATCAAACCAGTTGCACATATTTTCCCACCTTCTGCCACTCCAATGCTACATATCAAATCTTTTATTTATTTTGAAACTTCCTTCTTCCTGCCTTCTCTTTTTCCTTTCTTTTCTTTTCTTTATTATTTTTTTAGAGATATTTTTGCTGTATTTTACACTCACCAGAGAGACAGAGACAGAAAATGAGAAATTACTCCCTACGGAGGATGGCCATGCCACAATCCATTCTCCTCTTGGGATTTGGGGAACACACACAGACACATACATGTCCAGTGTGAGTTTTAAGCTGCCAGGTCCAGGACTTGAACTGAGGTTGGCCATGTGGGAGTCCAGGGACATAACCATTATGCTATCTGCTGGTCCCTCCTCCTTTCCTTTCTTTCATGAGAAAAAGAGAGGGGGATACTCTTGACAAGATCTTGCTACACCACAATCCCCTGCACAGCCTCCTAGCCAGCCAGGCTCATAGATGCAAGGAGGCACACTCTGTGTCCTCAGGCCAATCCAGTATCTAAACATGGGCTCACTATGCAACCCCAGAATCATGTAATGGCACCCACTATCCACACCATAGCTGTGTCAGCTGTCTGCTGTGCAGAATCTCACAAGATGGCTTCCACTGTGCCAGACTACAGCTAAGAGCTCACGCTCCACCATGCATCCCTAGGCAAATTACAGCTGTTTCAAATGTCTTTCCTCAGCTGCAAAATAGGTGTGTAACAAGAACTAAACAACTATGTTATGTAGAGTACATAAAGGTCCCTGAGTATCTACTCATTTATTCAGAGCTGGGGCTGTCCAGACAGATCAGGGAGACAATGGCCAGCTCCTCTCTCCTTGCTCTTTAAAGGCTGCTCCTGCCGCAAAGCCTCTAATCACACCTTCCACACACTTAAAACCGTGGCCCTCAGCTAACTCCTGGCAGGGTAGTGAGGATGTCAGATCACTTGGGCTTAGAAACAAGTCTCTACAAACCAAGTCTGAAGTCAGCGGTGTTAACTAAGGAAACTGCTCCCTCAAGCCAAGGTTCAGAAGCTCTCTGTAGTCTGGAGCTTACAGGGTTTCTCGCTCCTTCCAGCTTCAACAGTAAAAAGCTATTGGTCTCTCAGAATCATTGACTCTTTTTCTGAATGTTAAAGTTACTCATCACTTTTACTTGAGCAGAGGCCCTTGAGTGGGACTGGTTCATCTCGGTGGGCCCAGAAGGGTACAGGTTTATCATTCCCCTTAAGGATTTGGAGGTTAAAGAAGAAATGCAGAAGGCTGTCCCTTTAGCACAGTCACTAAGACCCAGCAACCTAAAAAACACACCAGGTACACGTGTACACATGCCCAACATCTGGACAGGATGGCGAAACGAAGAAGAGACTGCAGACTGTAGAGTGACCATCACCCAATTGGGGGCAAGGGGAGGCGTGTGCATGCATGTGTGCTCACTTGCTCACTCACATACGCTCTCTCTGGTGAGCACATGTGCCTTCTGGCAATTAATAAAAGAAGAAACGCAGAGACAAATAGGCAATCTTTCTTCAACACCCCAGGATCCCATCCACGAGTTCAGGGACCTAAAAACGGTTCTGGGAAGACACTGCTACGAGGGAGTCTGGGAAGAAAGAACTCTCTGGCTTCTGTGCCTACCTAATCTTCATGAAATCCTAGCTGTGAGTGATTCTTAGTAAAGGGCACAACTAAAACCCACTGGACACAGTGATTTAAAAAAATTTAGCATTCTTTTTTTTTTTTTTTAAAGAGGTTTTTGCTATAGGGCGTGTGTGCTCGCCAGAAAGACAGAGAGAGACAGAGACAGAAAGCGAGAAATCACCCCCCAGGGGGGAGGGCCACGCTGCAATCCCTTCTCCTCCATTCTCGTCTCAGGATCTTGGGCACACACGCACACGCGCCCAGTGTGAGTTTAAGCCACCAGGTCCGGGACTCGAACCACAGTCGAATATGTGGGAGTCCAGCGACATAGCCATTACGCTAACTGCTGGTCCCAAAAATTTAGTATTCTTGATGGCAGGTGGGGTGGTAGTTAAGGCATTGACTCCCACATGGCTGACAGCAGTTCAAATCCCAGACCCAGTGGCTTGCTTTCTCATTTTCCTTTTTTCTCTCTATCACTCTTTTGTCAAATTGAAAAATAATAATAATAAATGGAATTAGATATAAACAATTCTTTAAAAAAATTAAGCATTCTTTCTAAATTGGTGGTATCTTTGGAAGTTATATCCCCAAATAGCTTTTATAAGTCCCATTTTGAGAGTTGTAGCCATCCAGTTCATTCAGGTCATGTAACATTGTGGTACCCAGAAAGGCCTGGGTACAGAACTTTCTGCCACTTACTAGCTGTGTGACCCTGAGCCATCACTGACTTTTAGTTTCCTCCTCTAGAAGATATGGATGATAGGTCTACATCAAAGGGCTACCATGAGGATAAAGGGAGGCAGGCTTGGAAAGGACTTAGCTCAGCAAAGGGCGTGCACTAGGTGTCCAGTTATGTAGTCAGTACCTCAGTACCTCTTCAGCCTACTGTGTGCTGTCCCCGACTGAGCAGAACCATGGCTGTAAAGAATCTTACAAAGTCCAGACTCTGCTTTGAGGGGATGGCATGGGATGTAGGGAAGCAAAATTATACAAACTTTAAGAGGCAGTGAAATCAGGGAACACTTTGAGCATAAGGGATGGAGGAAGGAGAACCAGTAAGTCACTTTCCTTGCTGCGGGGGATACATTGTGGGAACTCAAATGTTTACCAGATATGAACAGGGAAGGCTTCCTGGAGGAGATGGCATTTGAGCTGAGTCACAGATATAGACAAGGTTTGGATGTGAGGACATAGG